AGTGAGATTTATAGTACAACATTTGATAGTGGCTTTACTGGATTGGACTGAGTAGAATTCATATTATTTTTCTTATCACGATTTGCTTATAATTTATTATGTGAATGCCTTTCATAAGGCTCAAGTCTTGTCAACTTTAATTTTCGTAATAATGAGATTGAATTTTGAAGAGAGATTTATGATTCTACCCTAAAGATAGTGAGGCCCGCTCAAGAACACTGTGCAAAAATATGTTAGGTTTGAATTTGGAAGAAAGTTTGATCGATTTCAAAATGATTGGTTGCTATTCAAAATAGTTGCACAATTCTTGGAGTGGGGAATATTTGAATTTATCTTGTTTTTAGTTTGCATAATATTTTATTATTCTAGGTTTAAATGTTTAGCAAATTTATTAGGGCACACATGTGGACGAATAGTTTTTAAAAAACCATTTAAGTTCAATTATTTATGTGAGTAATTTCTCATAAGAATGCATACACTGTTTTTTTTTTTAGTTTTAAAAGATTGTATTTCATTCTCTTGCATGTCTTTGTTATAACTCTGATTGTGATTGCTGCAAGTTGGAGTTTTTTGGTTACTCATGTGTGCCTTGCAGGGAATTTTTTTTCCTAATAATTAGAGGGCTATTGTTGTATGTTTTCATATTCTATATGTCCTTTGTGTGTTATGAGAGTTTTTGGTGTTATGAGAAAGGTTTGTTTGTGCTCGTAAGCGATCTGTTGTATTCAGTGTAAGGCTCTTTTTGTATTTTATGTTTTCTCGCTTTTTATTTTTGGTCTTTATATGTTACCAATTTTATGACGCATTAGTGCCCATAAAAATCATTTTAAACTTTTTAGTCCAAAGTTTGAGTGTACTTTGGTGTCACCTTCAAGTAGGGAGTACTAGGGGATTACCGGGCCTAGCCAATACACTTAAAACAACATATAGGAATGGTGTAAAACATTATAGCTAGGTTTTTTATCGCATCACATCAAAAAGAGCGTGCATGTGTTTTCGTACGTTCTTAGAAAATTGCACATAGTATTTTTCTATCATGACAGAAAATACACATACGATTACTTATATTTGGCGGGTTGTTGTGGTTGTTTTTGCATTTAAACCTTTGTGTGCATGAGGGTGTTGGTCGCAAAATGACTAGATACCTACATAAGTTTTTTCTTTTTGTTATCTATGGAAATTTTACTTTTCACTTTTGTTATTCTTTATGTGTGTGTGTGTGTGTGTATGTGTGTGTATATATATGTGTGTATGTATGTATGTATGTATGTATGTATTTATTTATGCATATTAAACAGAAAAAAAAGACGAGATTTAGATCGAGATTGAGAGTACATATAAACAGAAAAAAAAAGACGAGATTTAGATCGAGATTGAGAGTATTAAAAAGTGGAAGAGATAAGGTGAGATTGTGATGTGAAGAAGTGGAAGAGAATGAATAAGTGAATGAAAAGAGGATGTTGTAGCTGTAGATATCTAGGGTTGCTAGTGGTGTATGCACCTTAGGATACTATGAGTGCAAACTTGCTCAACCAAGTGCAAGGGTTAACTCACCAACTAAGTTCAAGTAACATTCTCCAGCTGAGATCAAGAGGAACTTGCCAAGCCGAGTCCCAACTCCCAAGAAGAACCTATCAACCGGGATCATAAAGATTTTGACCAATAAAGTCAAGGAGAACTCACCTACCCATATTAAACATGACAAACCAACTGATTACTACTCTTAGCTTGGGTCATTTGGTAGCATATTTCTTTTGTACGGTTTATCCTTTTTGTATATATGTAGCACATTTTATAGTATTTTTTTGTAGCGCTCATGACCACCCTAATCCTCATCCATAAAAGTAGATCACTTGAATAACAAGGTTATGCAAGAGAACTACGTAATCAAATGTATAGAGGAGATTCATTTCTCTTACTCTCCCTACTCTATTCTTTGCTCTTTTTTTGTGCATTTTCTTTCCTTTTTTCTTTGCAATAAGTGAATTTCTGATATAACTTATGTGTGAATCAATCAAGATCCAATATCCATAAAGGTGTGATAATATTGGATTTATACCACATGCCAAGAAAGAACATAGAGATATACAGATGAAATTTCAGAAAACTAATTAGAGAATTCCTAATCAGGGAGACTTTTGTAAACATGGAGAACCAAGATTTTATTACTATTAGACAACTCATTGAGATGGAATAACACTTTGTAGTATTATCCAGGTGATCCAAGAATAGTTCAGTAGAGCTGCCAATAGTGTGCAATTAATTGACAACTTATTGACTCTACAATAAAGTGGAGAAACTCTGAGCAAGAATACTATTTTGGGAAAAAAATGTATTACCAAAACTTTGAGGACTTGCCGCCCTTGCCTTCTCGACTTGACGGGCAAGTTGAGAGGAGACAAACATAGCTACCGAATGCCATTTGATGAGAAATCATTAAAGTTAAGCCAAACGGTCTGCCAAATTTAATATTTTTTCTTGTAGATGCTTACAAAGGTTGGATAGACTCAACTATACACATTGCATATTTTGAATCCACTTTCTCGCTACTCAATGTTAACGACAAGTTGAAGTGTAGTTATTTTTCACAACCTTGAAGGAGTTAACTCCTAGATGGTTTACCTATTTATCACTCAAGAAGATTGTCGTTCATTGAGTTCAAAATAATGTTCTTCATTTAATTCTCTAGCGTCCAACAACTCTAAAGAATTCACAGGTTCTGTTAAGGGTGAGACAATAGCCTGGTGAGTCATTGAGGAACCTTATAAGAATGTTCTAAAGAGAAATACCTAAAGTTAAAAACCTACTGTTGACTATGGCTCAAGCCGACTTAACCTATGGTCTACACGAAAGCTCTTTCTGCTTTGCAACAGTCGAAAACTTTGGCAAGCTATTTTGTACTATCTAACACTCATTCGAATATTGAGCTGTCTAACTACAACTTACCTTATGGTCTTGGCCAAATAAGGAAATTGTCGCTATTTTTCAAAGATCAGCATAACTGCCTAGTATTTTTTAGGCTTATAGTAGCTACTCATCTTCAACCCTTAACAACAATCTTATTGATGTTAAAAAAAAATGAAAAAAAAAAACTGCTGTCTTGTTGCACCCAATGAGTTCGTTATCGTGTGTATTCAACATTAGTGGAAACACAAAGAAAGTAAAAGATAAAAGTTATTTCTTATTGTCAACCACTCCTCAATTTCCAATAATAACTCTCTTGAGTATATGTGATCAAGTTAGTTAAGGATATCTAAAATAAAAGTTATTTCAAATGCCTAGTACCCATGAGGGTGAGCACTCATATGCGGGACATGTCATAGTAATCCATCTTATGGCCATGGACATAATACTAAGAATTGCACCACTTTATGAATCTCCTAGAGGATTTCATCATAATTGGTGAGTTCAAGGAATTTGTCGTCACCAAACCTGGTTGAACGCTGAGTAGACAGCCAATGTTGGAAGAAAGAAATGAGCTCATCCTAACTTGCATGATCTACATAGCGAAATCATACTTGCCATTTTTGTTGGGTCAAAAGAAGTGTCCTACCGAGCAAGCCTCAAGTGACTTAGGTTTAAAAAGGTTGAACTTGGCCATTACCTTGTGAACACCTGCCATAAAATTTGTTCCAGCAACACTCTTGACAGGCTCTTTAATGGCAAATTATATTATGATTCCATCATGGTCATTGCATTGATTACAAACAATTGGATTGGCAACATACTTATTGACACAAAGTTTGATCAACATCATATATTAAAGCATCTTAAAGAAAATGAACATTGAGAAGTCTCCTTCTTTAACCCTAAGATTGGGGGTTCTTCCATTAATGTGCATCCCTATTGCTACCCCCAGAATTTCAATTCAACGCTAACATAGTTGGTTGAATCTTCTAGTAGAAGAGGAGGTGATCAAATTAAGGAGATGGAGATTAAGCTTCATGTAGACTTAAAAGACTTGTTGACAATATTTTACAATGATTTAAAAACTATCATTGTTGTTCTTAGTTGAAGTGATATAAGTGTTTTAGATGATAACTTTGAGTAATACAATACGTGTTTGATAACAAAAAATGGAATGTATTTGTCTTACAGATGGAGAGTGGATAATTACAATGTCAGAACATGTTTGGCTTGGTTGGCACTTTGAAGTATATTTTCGAGTATTTTACAAAAAAAATCCTAGCTCTCACTTTCAAGCATCTGGTGAACTTACATGTATGAAACTATAAGTATGCATATGTTGAATTTATGAGAATTCAAGCAAGGACATGTCTAATATCTAATGCAATTGTTGATGTCTTCCAAGTTAGTCGATTAATTGAGTTATATTCAGTGGGAGTTATTGACTGTGCTGCTATTGATCGAATATTTGGAGAAATTGTGCAAAATAAGAACATGGTTACAAAGATAGATTATATTTTATACTTTAGGCACTTCTTAGGATAGGATGAGGATATGTCAGTTCTTTTAGAACCACTTCAGTTAAAAGGGGTGAGCCAATAATCGATATGGGGGAAAGAAGGGTTGATATCACGGAATCATGACACCATGCGGGAATCATATGACTTTATCTAACATCAATTTCTTTTCTTCCACATTGAGGATAAGGTCTCTTTGTAAGAGGGGAGTTATATTAGTTTGACGCCTACGGCTCCGTCCCCTAAATAATTTGAAAACTTATGTAAGACACAAGACTAAAAGGGCAATTTAGTTGTTAGTTAGCTATTATTGTGGGATATAAATAGGGCTTAATATGTTCACGGTTAGGAATGTGTGGTTGCTGTCTTGAACCGTAGGATAAGGGTTTGAGAGAGATCGCTTATCTCTTGAATTGTAAGTGTTTATCTTCTATGTGTTTGGGTTTATATCATTTTTGAATTAGTATCGACATTATAAAATTTATTATTTCTATGCTAATTCATACTGAAATTTTTATTGTTCCCATCAAAGAAGAATAAATGACTGATTTATTATGTGTACAAAATGCTATGCAGAGGCAAGCTGTGCTACTCAATCATGGAGAAGGTTTCCTTTGCCTTTATCATTATAGCTTGGGAACTACAACTATACTTCCAAGCACATCATCCATGTCTTTCGTCATTTATTATCCTTTGAAGTCTTTCCTAGGTAAGTTGACTCATTCAGGGCCATTATTCTAGCGGGCTATAGAGTTTAACAAGTTCTATTTTTTCTTTGTACCAAGAATGTCTATCAAGGTGCAAGGAGTTTGTTGATTTCAATATCAACGACATGGAGAAGAAGTGACTATTATGAAGACCATGTATTTAAGATGTTTATGATGCTTATAGCTCTTAAGGAGTTAGAAATTGTGTATATTATTGAGAAGCCCAGTGGTTGAGTATTAACAAATATTTTTTGAATAAATTTAGTTATAAATAATCACGTTGAATATGAAAAAGTTACTCCCAACCTGAGATTCATTGTAGGTTTGGTGCCATGCATCTTTTAGTCTAATAAGACTCACAAATATTGTTGAACCAAGTAAATGGGCAATATCCAAAAGGAATATCTAAAGAATATTTATTTAAGACTAAGATGGGGGTTGGGAATTTCAAATACCTCAAAATTGAAAAAACAATTATGAGAGATTAGAACAAATTCGTTGATCTACTTTTCAAAATTTGGAATCTTGATGGAAGGTTCTAAAGCTTACTTGGAGGAGCCAAGTTAAGTTGGGTAGATTTGTTGATCAAATATATAAAGTTGGGTACCATCTCACGCTCAATGAATGATCTTTGAAGGTTCAAAATCAAGGCTAACTTCTACATGCTTATCAATATTAAATTGCACAAAATTCAGCAACTTTGCCTTATGTCTAGTATGTGCACAAGAAGTCCCTTGAATCCTTGAGGAGATTTAGTTAAGAGGATGCCAAAATTGCTTTGAAGGATAAACACTAGCAAACAAAATGCTAAAGACTAGGCCTCTTCTGCTGACATTCAGAAAATATGCTGAAATTACTCTAGAAGGCAACAACAATATCAAAAGTTTACTGTCAATTTCAACCATCACATATGTTGTAGCATAGCTCAAGCTGTAAAAGGCCTTTTATTGTTTGGGGCTTGGACTTACTCTGCCCTTTCCCACCTTTTATGGGGCAAATAAAATTTGTCGTGCACATGATTGACAACTCTAAGTGAATAGAGGCCAAGATGCTAATGAAGATCTTAGAGGTTGTTTGAAAATTTAACTGAATCGATATTATATCCTGGCATAGGATACCATATGCAATCTTTTTCTACAATAGTTCTCAATTCTTTAACAAAACTTTTAGGGATCGTTGCTAAAATTTGTCTCATTACACCACCCATAGATGAATGGTTATGTTGAAACCACTAATAAATAAAGCCTCCATCTTTTTAGATAGAGAATTGAATTTTCTAAAGATAAGTAGGGGTTCGTCTTGTTATCCGTCTTATGGCCTCTAAGGATGACTCATGATCATGAACTAGACAAACACCTTTTATGCTATTATTCGGTGTTGAGGTACTAGTCTCAATTGTACAAATTTACACAACCAAAAGAATACAAGCCTTCTATAGATATATGGAATGCAAATTCAATGAATGATGAGAATTAAATAAATACAAGTTGAGAGAGTACTCAAACTGTTGGAAGATTTGAGAAGTTAACACGCTTTTAAGTAAAAGAAATAAGAGATGGATAACCAATAAATAAGACCTGAAAATTTTTTCTACAATTTTTTTTCAAATTTTTTGTATAAAAAAGAATTGTTATTTTTAGTTTAATAAATTTTTTTTGAGAAGTTATTTGCTATTCACTTATAGGAAGAACTCCAAAAATGAAATTGAGGAACTCGTCTAATTAAGTAGCTGAAAGAACTCTTTCCGTTGAGCAACTCAGTAAACTCGATATATCAAGAACACTAGGGGAACTCGATGAGCTCGATGCAAATGAAGACAAAAGGTAAAATAAGAGGGCTTTGCTTTAATAAAACAAGCAAACATGTTGAAGTCGATTGACATTGAAAGTTAAAAATTTAAGTCAATATTATAGAAACTTTTTTTTAATAATAACTTAATTGATAAAGGCGATGGTAGGCTAAATTAAAGATTGGATATAATGATATTTTAATCAATGAAAACTCGAAAAGATATCAAGGCTACCTGCAAGTGAAATTGCAATGTTCTGGTAAAGGATAATTCTAGTTTACATGGTTGCCTTGGTTCATTCAAAACCTTGAGTCACAATATAAGAAAAAGAATGTCTAATGAAATGTTTAGCGCAAAAAGCTTCCTATTTTCTTCACTAGGAAAGAATTTACTTCCTATTTTCTTCACAAAGGAATTTTCCATTTATCTTAAAAGGACTTTTAATGATTTGTATTTTTCATTTATTGATTTAAAAAAAAATGATGTGAAAGCTTAACTTGCTCCCAATTCTTAAGCGTGTAAGTCAGGAATTTCTTATGTATTCTCCCTTGGATGGATTAGAGCCTTATGACCTAACTCATACTTTTTGTCTTGAGCTCTGCGTTGACTGGCACTGAAGTCTACTCAGTTGATTAGCCTAAATGATTACTCCTATAAGACTCATTAAAGGCAACATCTAAAATAAAAATATATGAAAAAGGGAGTAACAGTGAATAAGACTTGAGTTTTATTAGTTTTTTTATAGCTTATAATGCCGCTCAACTCGGTCTATAATGCTGCTCAATTTGACTCATATTGTCAGAGTTTTATTAGTTTTTTTATAGCTTATAATGTCGCTCAACTTGGTCTATAATGCTGCTCAATTTGACTCATATTGTCACATGAATTCGACAGAATGTCAAAAGTAGCTTAATTTGATCCAAAGAGCTGCCTATATAAAAAAATAATCATATTTGGCCCAAAGAGTCATTTAGTCTGTATAATCACCCTTGATTTTTATTTTACTAAAGATCTTTTCATACACACGATAATCATGGTTTTCAAATTCTAAGGGCCTTTTTACTTGTGCAAGATTCACGCATGACCTAAAAGCCTACTTGGGGTTTTTTAATTTAGGGTGCGTTTGGGGCGGCTGTGTGGTCGTGGTACAGTGTTGCATCGTAGTTTTTCTGGTTTGGTAAAATTGCGTTTTGCTTGCAGACTAGAGGGCTTCTTGGCTAGCTTCTTGAAATAAAAACTCATTCCTTTCTTGTACTGTCCTGACTAGAGGGCTATATACTCAGCTGACGTCTTCAAATGTTTTTGTCCACTTTTGGCTATCTCAAAGTTTTTAACATTCTTTTTCAAAAGGTCTTTTAGCAAGGCATGCTCTTATTGAGAGGCCTCATCTTTTTATTATCACTTCTTATAACATGTAAATTCTATCTGATTGATTGTATCTTTTTCTAAAACTCAATTTTTAAAATTTTTCATTTTTCACAACCGACTCATTTGTGTTCTCTGCTATTAGGGCCAACTTTAGGTCCTCTACCAAATCCTCCTAGAAACATTATTTTTCAGAACCTTAGCTCCTCTACCATTAGATTAGATATGAAAAAAGGGTAAAAGATATATGTATTAACTAGCCAAATAAAGAAAAAAAAAGATTTAATTCAAGTAAAGTGTATTAAAGATGAAAATAAAAAAATACTTTTATATGAGGAATACTTCAACATATGTGGGTGAGATATTTTGATAAAATTTTCAATAAGTCTTTTGAAAATACGATCGACCTTAGTGATATTTATATTGCTAATAATAAGAATTTTTTTTATTTTTACAATCGCATTAGTAAAAAAGAAAATTGAGGAGGCTTTAAAGAAGACTAAGTGTGGAAAATTAGTAGGATTTTATGATATCTCAATAGAAGTGTGGAAATATTTACGAGATTTGGGAATTTCATAGCTTGCCAAATTTTTTAATATTATTTTAAAATATTGTTGCCTGAGGAGCAGAGGAAGAGTATTTTGGTCCCCATTTTTAAGAATAAAGGGATGCACAAGAGTGTGCAAATTATAGAGGAATTAACCTAATATGTCGTACAATAAGATTATGAAAGTGAGTAGTTGAACATAGGTTAAGACATTATACAAGGATTTCTCATAGTTAGTTTGGATTTATGTCGAGTAAGTCTACCATGGAATCTATATATTTATTGTGAGATATGATGGAGAAGTACAGAGAGAGTAAGGAGGATCTACATATAATTTTTATGATTTAGAAAAAGCTTACGATGAGCTTCCAAGAGAAATTCTTGGGAGAGTTATAGGAAAAAATGGTGTTGATATGACTTATATTCTAGTTATTAAGGATATGTACACTCGAGTTGTTACTTGTGTTCAAATAGAAGGACGATTGACAAAGTATTTTCCTATTTCAGTTGGATTACATCAGGGATCGACTTTAAGACCTTGTCTTTTTTGCTTTAGTTATGGACGGACTTACTGGACATTTACAGGAGGATGTACCTTGTATGCTTTTCACTAATGATATACTTTTTGTGGATAGGACTAGAGAAATAGTTCACGATAATCTTGAATTATGGAGTTCTACATTAGTCCATATGCATTCATTTGAGTAGATCTAAAACTTAATACATGGAATGTAATTTTAGTAGCAGTGGATCTAGTGGTAGAGTTGTAACAATGGGTGATCAAATCATTAAAATAAGTGAACACTTTAGATACCTGGAGTCAATTGTTCTAAGTGATGGTGATATAGTTGGGAATGCTATTAGTAGAATTCAAGTTGGATGGTTGAAGTTGAGGGATGCATCAGGCCTATTTTGTAGAAAAGTACCGCTTAGATTTTAAAGGAAAATTTTATGAGATGGTGGTGAGACCTGTAATGCTTTGTGACATAGAATGTTGGCCTATAAAAGAGAAGCATAAAACTAAGTTAAATGCTGCTGAGATGAGAATGCGTAGGTGGATGAGTGGCTTGACCTTAGAGATAAAATGCGAAGAAAATGTATTCGTAAAATGGTTTTTTAAAGATTAACAAAGCAGGTTAAAAACAAAGATGAAAAAAAATTCAACCAATGAAATACATAATATTGCATAGTATAATTAATAAAAGATTTGCATGTAGCAATACTTATTATTCTTGACCACCTTTTCATACATTGCTTATATTTTTGGTACTTATAAGTAATATATATTTATTTTAAAATCT